CCCCACCTTCTTGACCTTCTCTACCTCGCTTGGGGAGGATTGGCAAAAAAAAAAGGGGAAGCAGAGGGGGGAAAAACAGTTTAAGAAGGTTGTTTGACTTTTTGTTATTTATTTTGTCTGTCTCAGGTACTCTCATTCTCCTCTCCCCTCCCCCCCCCCACCCTCTCTCTAAATCCTCAATTCGGGAGGCCTTTATATAAGGAATTGCAGGAACATTTGAAAGATCAAGGCCTCCCGCCTTTCGATGGCTCCGTTCTACTTGTAGGGAGCGGAGCGGCACTCCAGCTGGAATATGGGTCCAGAGTCCCAGAATACAAATATGAATTACCCCTCTGCGTTCTCATATAGCTAGACAGCCTTGACTACAGCACACGAAAAGAAAAACGAAACGAGTGCATCTTCCCACAGAAAATGGACAGGTTCATTGTTTTGCTATACATAGTAAAGAGCGTATTTTGCTATACATGGTAAAGAACGTATTTTGCTATACATGGTAAAGAGCGTATTTTGCTATACATAGTAAAGAGCGTATTCTGCCAACCTTGGTGGGGAGATGCACTCGTTTCGTTTTCGTTTCGTGTGCCGTGTGACGAGGCCCTATGCTTCCCTGGCGGAAAGGATTAATTGCTGTAACATTAAATTTAAAACAGAGAAAAAGAGGTGGGGCCGGCGACCTAGCTCAGCTGGTAGAGCACGAAAGTGGCATTCAGGAGGTTGGGGGTTCGATCCCACTCTCCTCCTCCTTTTCTCCTCCCCTCTTTATTTGACAATAAATAATAATAATAATAATAATAATAATAATAATGTTGAATGGCTGAACCAGAATCAATGTTCGAATCCCTCGTCTACTGCAGGTATAACATGAGGTCCACCATAGCCATGACCACCCTTCTCCTTCCTCTTCACGAAGGCCGAGGCTAGGGCGTTGCCCTGATATGCCAAAGACAACTCAAAGCAGCTATGGCTGCTCTAGCTCAGGCTGCCATCCCTGACTCTCCCTCAAAGCTTCTTGGTGTAGCCTTAACCCAACTGGGGTCTTCCACCAAGGTGATGGAGATGGCGTCCACCATATCCTGGTAAGTACCTCTGGCACTCTCCCTTTCTACGGTAGTCCTCGTCTTCCTCCTCCTCCAGCCCGTGCCCCTCCATCATAGCCGAGGTGGAGAGCTGGGCGCTCCTTCCTCCCCAGCAGCGCTGCTCCAGCCAGCGCTCCAAGCAGTGTGCCACCAAACTTGCACACGGTAGAATGAGGAGGAGCTCTTTTTTTTGCTCCTCCAGGAGATATAGCGGCCTACTTGACTCTTGGGCGGTGACTTCCTAGGCCGCGCGGCCTCTAAGCAACTGGTACCTCCTCCCTGTCGGAGGGAAACATCATTGCAGACTCTGATAAAATTGCCCGTACGGGCCCTAGAGACTCAGACTACTTGGACTGGTACTAGCCTAGAACCACTGGGCCTCTAAAAATGCCAACTTTTGTCTTCTTCTGCCCGGCCTCGAGTACCCGACACATCTACCTCGACTTGGTGTGGTACCGGCCTACCTGCTACTTTAGCGTTTTTCTGCTGCTCCACTTGAGTGTTTTCCCCGCTGCAACCCTCAATGTCACGGCCACAGGTAAGTACCGGCCCTTCAGGCCTCCGGTACGGATGAGTACCCTTGTGGGCCACACGCACACTCAAATCGACGAGTACTCAGACAGGCACACAAGCCAGCAAGCACGCAAACACACACAGACTTAGAAAACTCAGCAACAAGCGGGAAACTCAGCAAGGCATACATTCCATTGGCAAAACTCAGAAATCAGCTGTGTGTCTCAGTCCGTGTTTGGCAGGTCCTTACATTCTGCACTTTTCTGGTGTTTTTTTCTTTTTCTTTTTCTTTTTTTTCCCCCTGTGGCATGTGCAGAATATGGTGCTGGTGCTTAATGGCCCATCAGGAGCAGGAAAGACGGTAAGACCTTTTTTTTTTTTTTTCCCTTGTTGGAGTTAGGGCTCCTTTGGTGCTGCTGATGGAAACTTCTTTGAAAATAAATGCGCGTAACTATAACATAATATTATTAACATTTAATATTTTAACTTTTCTGCTAGGCTGTTTGTCCGGGCGCCTGGGCACCCAACTTGTGCCCGGATGCACACTTGGGTGCCAGGCCAGGCGTGAATCCCGGGCAGGGTTCCGGGCAGCCCGGGGGGGCGGAAAAAAAGCCGTCAAAAAAATTAGTAAAAGTTCCAGGAAAAAAACAATCTGTCGTCTAGAATTGCAATACAAACGACTTTTGGCTGAGGGTCACATCAGAATTCCGCACGGAATTGGAGATAAAAGAAAGAAAACAACAGAATCAGATTATCAGACTAATGCACCCCCCTTTACACCCCTTTAGCCCCTTAAAAACCAATTTATACCCMCCTTCCCCCCCCCTTGACAGCCAACACTCGGAAAAGGAAAGGAGCCCGGATTTGGGCTCCTCTGGCCATGCTCAGAAACCTCAGACCCCCCCCCCAAAAAAAAAGTAAGGGCTGATTTTTGCTTGCACGGGGTTGCCCCATGCAGGTGACCCCCGAGCGACTTGCCTGGGTTGCATGGCCGTGCTGCACGGCTGGGCGAGTCAAGTACCCTAGCTTTTCTGGAATTCCTATCACTTATTGAAATGGGTATGTGGTTCGTTATATATGCTCACCTTTTTTTTTTTTTTTTTTTTTTTAATGCGAGCATAGTCCGCTCTTGAATAAAAAAAAAAGAAGAAATATGTCCTTTGGGATATCCGTTAAAATTGGAACCATGCAGAGAAAAGAAGATTAGCATGGCCCCTGCGCAATCAAGGATGACAGGCATAAATCGAGAAATGGTCCAAATCCTTTAAACCACTAGTACCTCCGCCAGGCAAAAGAAATTTGGGAAAACTGACAGTTTTCCCAAATCCCAAAGTTTTCGTGAATCATGCGGAGGGTCGGCAAGCCTCTTTAGATTTCGGCCTTGTGGGCCGATTGCGCCCCCCCCCCCCCCCCCAAAAAAAAAAAAACAGAAAAAAAGCCGCAGATTTGAAAGGGAAGAAGTCGGGGAAGGCCGTGAAGGAGGTTTGCTCACAGTGGTACTGTTTGGAACGCATCTAGCCAGAAACGTAGCTACTTTCATTTCTGGTCGTCTTTGTTTTTGTGTTTTCTTTTCATTCTCTTTTCGTGCCCTGCCAGGGAGGCAGCCAGGGCGCATTTCACGGAACGCATCTACCCAGAAACGTAGCTACTTTCATTTCTGGTTGTCTGTGTTTTTGTGTTTTTTTTTCGTTCTCTTTTGGTGTCCTGCCAACGAGGCAGGGCGCATTCCACGGACAGCTGACAGCTCTGCAACTTAGGGCGCAGTCTCACTTGTACTCCATATTCTGTATCTAGATGCTTTCACGTCCAAGGAGTGGATTCGTATTTTTGCTGCTGCCTTGAATACAGTGCCTGGAGTAACGCCCGTTGGGAGGGCGTACTCTCACATGTGCCCTAGATTCTGTATCGAGCTGCTTTCACATCCAAAGAGTACATTTTTTTTTTGTAGCGGAGGGCATATTCTAACATGTGCCCCAGATTCTGCATCCAGCTGCTTTCACGTCCCTAGGGTGGTTGCTTTTTTTTTCATCTTTCGTTGTTGTTGTTGTTGTTGTTTTTTCCATTCCCAAAGGGTACCAGAAAAGAAAACACAATGGCACGCAGGCTCGACAAATTTTAGGTGCGCAGTGAAAATCAGGGCTGGCAAAAACAGGCTCGGAGGTACTAGTGGTTTAAAAATAAGAAAAATAAGTAAAATTTAGAAATATTTACATATAATTCCATCTGTTCATGCAGTCCACCATCGACCTCCCCACAAACCCTTGGCCTCAAACGTAATTCCTCTTCTCTTCGTGACCATGCTCCTCGCACTGTTGATTTCACAACTATGTATACTAATCTTCCTCGTGACCGCATTTTTCATAATGTATCAAAAGCGGTTGAGGAAGCCTATACATATGCCCTACAACAGCACACACAGGGGCGCACACATCCTCCTAGCCTTAACATGATTGTTAAAGGGCCCCGTCAAAGGGAGTGGACGGTTGATACCGGACCAAACACCTTGACCGTTTCCCAAATTCTTGAACATCTTCATTTCATTGTCACAAACACGTATCTTTATGCAGCGGAGGGCACCTTGCGACATCAGCTGATTGGCATCCCGATGGGGACTAATTCTGGTCCGGAGATAGCTAATTTGACGTTGTATTGGGATGAGGCTCGATTTGTTGATGACCTCCAGCGGCGTGATCTTCGCGCAGCTCAACGGTATGCGCTTGCATACCGCTTGATTGATGATGTTCTCTCATGGGGACATCTGCCACCACCGTCAGAGCACTATGGCCTCGAATGGAAGGAGACCACAGCGCCTGATGGCTCTTGCACATTCTTGGGTGCACTTATCCAAGTCCACCCTGACGGTTCCCTGCGTATGAGTGTCTTTGACAAAGCAACTGAATGTAATTTCCCTGTTATTCGTTATCCTAGTGCTACGTCTAATGTTCCTGCACACCAGCCGGCGGGAGTGTTTATAGGCCAGCTCACTAGGTTTGAGTATGTTTGCAACAACTGGTATGATTTCAAAACTGCAGCAGCGATGCTCACACGCTGCGTGTTTTTTTGTGGGCACTCTCCAACAACGCTTGCGAAAGGATGGACTTCCTATATTCGTTAATGTCAACACAGGTACCCTGCGCACGTGACCCACCTCTCCAGTTGGTTCCGCAACATGCTTCGATGGTCTATTCGTCACCCGCTTTCTCGGGTATCCGCACACTATCCTCGGACTGCGCCTGTCGCAGCCCCTTCTTCATTATCGGCGCCTGTCAGACCTATCACAACCTCTTTTTCATTACCTGTGTCTGCCGCAACTGCGCCCTCATCAGTCTTAGTAACACCTTCCATGCCGTTTGTGACCCTGGCTGCCCCTTTTCGGTTCGCAGCCTCTTCCTCATCGGCCTTGGTTGCTCCTATGATTGATGGGAGCAACTCGACCCGCAACTGCTGTGTCGCCCTTGGTCTCGGTGTGTTCCTCCATGGCATCCGTGGCCACCGTAGCTGTTGTGTCGCCCTTGGTCTCGGTGTGTTCCTCCATGGCATCTGTGACCACCGCAGCTGCTGTGTCGCCCGTGGTCTCGGTGCGTTCCTCCATGGCATCTGTGGCCATGCCTGCATTACCATCTGCAGAGTCCCCTCTTCGGGTCTCACCTACGACTCCCCTACCTGTCTCTGCTTCAGCCACTTCACCACACGGGACTTCGTCCCCCCCGTCTTCACCGCCTTTATTTCCCCTGGTTTTATCGCCACCTGTTACGCACATTCCGACTACTCTACCACCCCTGTCTTCACCACTCCTACCTCCCTTGGTTTCGTCTCCATCCGTTATCCCTCTTCCTAATCCACAAACCACTTCGTCCACACAGACTCCGTCATCATGTTCTAGCCTTGCAGAAAGCCTACTTCGTCGTCCTAGACGCCGACTTCGACCTACTTCCCAACCTCGACTTACTCCCCTTTCCTCCATCTCTGTTCTTGGACGAAGAAGAACTCGTTCATTCTACCCACCACGGCCCTCCCCAACATCCCGTCCCCGTCTTTTGCCGCCCCAAGCATCCTTACCACGCCTGCAACGCTCTTCGACTGCAGAAGTTTCTGCAACGCGGCAAACACAAAACAAGAGGGATGATGGCGAGGGACCATCCGAGGATGAACTTGGCAAGGGGAATGTAGGAGATTCTGTCGGAAATCCGCCTGACCGGCCTCCATCGAATTTGTGTGGCCTCGTTGCTACTAACATATGCCTACAAGCCTATCGTCGGAAACCATATATTCATTCTGATTTCTTGGCCATTGCTTCCAATCTTGATGCTCAGGAACGTGAGTTATATGGCGATAACCCGACTCTGCATCCCCCACAGGATAGAAATTACACTCGACATGGGGGATTCAATGTATCTGTTTTGGAGACTGCTTTGATAAGGCGCCGACTTGATATGCAGCGTGCCCCTTCGGGTAGCGACCCGAACCATTGTTTGCACGTTTGTGCCTATATTCTACATGGTCCTGGCCACTACACTGCTCTTGTCCGTGCCTCTGGTTCTTGGGAATTATGGAATGGCGGTGCTATGGTGCAAACTATTACTGCCATCTGTGATCTCGTGCGTAATTACCCTAACCTGCAACTGTTCCAGGACATTGACCCTATGGGTACCTCGTGTACTTCCATGCCCGCCTCTACGCCTATCTCTGTGCCTGCCTCCGTACCTGTCTCTGTGCCTGTTTCTATGTCTGTCTCCTTCAAGATTACTGACTCTATGGGTACCACGTGTACTTTCTTCCCCGCCTCTGCACCTGTCTCTGTGCCCGCCTCCACACTTGTCTCCATGCCCGTTTTTGTGTCTGTCTCCGTGCCTACCTCCATGTCTGCCACCGTGCCTGCTTTAGTCTTTATTCCCCTGCATGCTGCACTAACACCTTGTGACCTCGTTCTTTGTGAGATCACTGACACAGTTACACTTGGTTGTGGAAAGCATCGACTTTGTCGACATCACTACAACCGTATAATTTTTCGGGCCCGCTGAACATCCTCTAAATCCAGATGCAGTATGTCCCATCTGTGCCTGCGGGCGCTATAGCGAATGTGCACTTAACTGTGATGGTGAACGCCCCACGATCGTCATGGCCTGCAACTGGCATGCCCTCTGTCGTGCATGCTTCAGAGGTATGGTTAATGCTAGCCGCCCTGGCTCCTGCTGTGACGAAGTTGCTTACCTGAATGGTTTTCGTCCTGTAGATCAGCGGGAGGGCTGCTATCATCGCCCGCATCCTTATGACAGTTGTCCTATCTGTCGTGAGGGTCGTACTTAGACGTACCTTGCACCCTGACAAAAATGTGCAGGTGCGCTGAAAAGAGTGTACAAGAATGTGCAAAGGTGGGGAACCCTTCACTAAAACTGCAAAACTGTGAAGAATGCAGTAAAAGAAGAACATAAGTTTGTGTCATTTTACTTTGTTTGTACCCTGCACCCGAACACCCTCAAAAGAAAAGTCCGAAGGGTGAAAATGAGGATGAGAAATGAAGAAGGAAGTGCAGGTGCGCTGAAAAGCGAACGTGGTAGACTCTTCACCAAAACTGCAAAACTGTGAAAGAAAGAAGAATACAGTAAAAGAAAGAAGATGTTTGTGTCAACATTTTTTTTTTTTTTTTTCCCTCCCTCTGCCTATTGGTTTTCCTTTTCTGCTCCTCTCTTCCTTGTGGTTAACACCTCTTCCTTCACTCTGCCTCTTTCCCATAGCGTGCAAGTGGGCTGTTATGGCATACGGGGATGGGGGCAGCTCGCGCTCAACTTCATCAACGTGGCGAGCCTTGTACGTTAGAGGCACAGTGGAGGAGGCGTTAAGAAGACTGAGAAACTGAATGATTTCAATGTGTCTTTGTTTTTGATTTTTATCCTTTGATTCAGTGTGAAAGAAATAATAATACTGTGAAACAAAGAATAAGAGGACATTGTTTTGTGTCATTCTGGTTTGTTTGTCTCTTTGCCTGTCTGTCCTTTCATTTTTCTTTTCTTCGCTCATCTTATTTCTTCTTCTACTTCATATATATATATATATACAGGGTCACCAGCCCGTATGTACGGAGGTCCCCGGGCAGACCTCCGTACGTACGGGCGTTCGGGGTCCCGTACGGGGTCCGAACTTGACGGCGTTTGGCCCCCGCCAAAAATGATTTCGGGGCCTAAAACTAACTTTTTTTTTCTGAGTTTTTTTTTTGTGAGTTCTCTATGACATTGCGAGGCCACTGCCTCTATGAGCCCCATAAGGCCCCATTTTTGCAGCCCGTCGGCCACCCTAAGTGAAGGCAGGCTCGACGAGGCCTTCAGGGCCCTTTTCTGGCCACCACGCAACTCAGGGAAATTCAGGCAGTTGCGCAGCGCCAGTTGGTTGAGTGAACCCAGGCCCTGGGCCGCCTGTGTGAATGTATGTGAAGCAGGCCCTGGGCTGGATACGGGTACCGGGCCAAACACAGGCCAAAGGCAGTTGGGCACATGCAACCACCTCAGGCCCAAGGCCTGTTCTCGTCGTGGTGGGCCTCAGGCTACCAGGGCCTACTGGAAGCTTCCTGGGACTGGACGCAGGCAGGCCACTTCGATATAGCAAAGGGCCTGCCTCCTCATGCGGCATTCGGGTGCTGGCTGCATGCTGCGCAAGCGCTGCTGTGCTATTGTGCTGGCTGGCGCCTACGCTCTCACGGGCGAGCAGGGAAGGAGCACGCAGCCATAGCCGAGCTGCGCTGCTGCAAGCTGGGTGAAGCGCAGGGTGGTCCTTGGGTGCTAGTGGCATCTGTGTGTTGGGGAACGAGGTTGTGAGTGTGGCGAGAGACATACCTGGTGCTGGAAGCGTGCGACATTGGTCGCCATATGCTCGTACTTCGGGAATGCTGTTGACGTCATCTTTCGGCATCGTAGTGTAGGCTAGATAGGATCTGCCACATGTAGTCTGGGCGCCGAGCGCCAGATAGGATATCAACTCTGGTTCTTCATTGATGATGATGGGACTATTTCTGCATTGTCAATTATGAACTCTTGGTGCATCTCGTGATGCAATTCTGCTGTTGGTTCGAGGTCAAGACTATCTGGACTCATATGTATGATGCTGTTTGATTGCTGAAGTTCGCTATTGCTCAT